TACCCTAAAAGCAAAACAAACCCACTTACACATGGGAGATGCCACTCAAATTATTGGAAGTTCGCCAATTTTTCCGAATTTAATTCATATGGTGGGGCCAATCCCCCCATTGAAAATCCGCCAATTGAATGTCAAAGTTCTTCATGTAAAATTTGAAGATTCTAGCTTCTACAGTATCTCAGATATACAAATTTTTCTATATAATTCATATGGGGGTTCCAAGCCACCCCCTGATGAAAGTCCGCTTTTTTCCCCCAAAATGTTCAGATGAATATGAAAGTCCTTTCAAAAATTTTAGGAATCTAGTTGTATTAGTTTATTACCCAAAATATTTACATGGATGCTAAAGTTCTTCGTGCAAAATTTGAAGCTTTTAACTCTAATAGTTTCCAAGATAAACGAATTTGTGTATTTAATTAATATGGGAGGTGCCACGCCCCCTGCTGCTAGTTCGTCCACTTTTTATCCTAACTAATCATATTGATACTTATATGGCTCCGACCAAATTTGAGGGCTCTAACTGTTACATTTTCCGAGATATACTGATTTAATATTTTCTTAATATGGAAGGTGCCACGCCCACTATAGTCATTCGGCCCATTTTATCCAAAAATATTCTTATGGATGTCAATGTTGTCCGTGCAAAATTTGAGAACTCTAATTTTACCAGTTTCCAAGATATATGACTTTTAATAGTTATTTAATAAGTGGGCGTGGCACCTCGCCTACTTGAAATTTTAAAATAAAAAGTAGCCTATAGTTCCTTCCAGATATACAGGAAAGTTCTGTTAAAATTTCAAGAAAATCGGTCCAGAAGTTTAGTCGTCTATAGACCAAGATAACGAATTTGTGTATTTAATTAATATGGGAGGTGCCACGCCCCCTGCTGCTAGTTCGTCCACTTTTTATCCTAACTAATCATATTGATACTTATATGGCTCCGACCAAATTTGAGGGCTCTAACTGTTACATTTTCCGAGATATACTGATTTAATATTTTCTTAATATGGAAGGTGCCACGCCCACTATAGTCATTCGGCCCATTTTATCCAAAAATATTCTTATGGATGTCAATGTTGTACGTGCAAAATTTGAGAACTCTAATTGTACCAGTTTCCAAGATATATGACTTTTAATAGTTATTTAATAAGTAGGCGTGGCACCTCGCCTACTTGAAATTTTAAAATAAAAAGTAGCCTATAGTTCCTTCCAGATATACAGGAAGGTTCTGTTAAAATTTCAAGAAAATCGGTCCAGAAGTTTAGTCATCTATAGACTTCAAACAAACAAACCCACAAACAAATAAACAAAAATTTTTATATATATAGATTAACAGAATTACTATCAGAAAATATCACAGAAAAAACTAATTTTAAAAAAATTTCAGTTAAACGATTAATCAAAAATTTTTAAAGTGTTTTGTATCATAAAAATGTATAATCAAATACGTATTTAACAACAACAAAATTAGAAACAAATAAAAATTTTGCGTATGAAATCAATCAAAAATGAAACTTCAATAAATAAAATAATTGAAAACGAGATTTTGGTAATTGAAATCGTTTTTCAGTTTTTCTGTGAATATAAAATATTTAAAAAATACAATTGTTTAAATTGTTTTTAGAAAAATAAAATTAAAAATAAATATAAAAATATTCTCTACCCAGCAAAAAATAATTGATGTCATACTTTACAAACGACATCTTAATCACATCTAAAAATGCGATAACATATTTTTCGCTTTTATAAACCAAATATTTCATTACAAATGAAACCCACTTAAAAGTGAATAATGAGATGTAGAAAAGTCACTACAAATAACATATTCGAAGTACATCAAATTTTGGTAAAAGACTAATGAAATTTACAGAAGCGTGTCATTGAAAGAATATGGTTATTTTCCACATCCAAATATAGGATTTTTACTGCTTCTTATAATAAGATTAGCTGTAGTTCAAAATTGTCAAAATGAACAACATCCCTCCAATGACACGCTAATGTAAAATGCATAGGTTTTTCACCAGAATTTTAAGTACTTCGGGTTACTAGTTGTGATGAAAATACTACATCTTTTTCCACACTCTTTTTGCTGGGTAATTTATTATTCATTTATCACATATTTTTCTTTTGTTTTGAAATAATTCTTATTTAATATAAATACTCGTATACATACTGCATCAATATAGATTCTTTGTATTAATATACACTATCGGACAAAATAAAGTGCAAACGTGCTCATGCTACATTATTTCATCGAAAAATCTGTTAAATGATTATTGAATATGGAATTTTTTTAAAATTCATTTAGTTTATATACAATGCTACAAAAATAACCATAAAACAAATTTATTCCACCTAAAATTTTTCTGTATAACATTTAAAATGAAAGTAAATTCACTTTTCTGTCGGACAAAATAAAGTGTAAATTTTATATATCATTATTTAAATTTCTTGTATATCAAAATTTTTTATCTATTTTGGTTCTGATTTTAATATTTGGATCTACTTAAGCCATTTTGGTAATTTGTTCTCCATTATTATTCGCAATCGCCTTTCCTTCCCCTTGCTTTCCCCATATGATAATTTTCAAAAGAAATCTGTTTTTGTTCGCTATTGAAGCTGAATTTTTTGATCAATTGTGGTGAAAAATTAATCTATTAGATTTAGGACGATGCTCTGAGCAGGTCATTCCAATTTTTCAGTGTTTTTTCTTACAATTTTTTAACCTTTGTCGTGTGTTTGAAGTCATGAATCGGTTGAGGCATTAAGTCTCCCAAACCCATTTTACGGCATTTATTTAAAAAATTTTATTAAATACGCTCGTGAATTGCTCTTTTTTTATTGCTTACTCCATTTTCACTAAGATTCCCGCTCTTAAAGTTGAATAATGTACCAATACCGATAGCCCTCTACCATAATGTTTAAAACCTGGGGTATTGTTTTTAAAATTTTGTATACTGATGGGCTTAACTCACACTCATTGTCGACATTTTAAAATTTTCGGTAGAAATTGGGACTCATCTGACCAACTACGTAAATTTGAGCTAAAAAATACGAAATTAAATACTAAAATCGAAAAAAATGTTTATGCTTTTAAATATGTTGGTGAAAGATTGAAGGTATGGGTCAGTTGACTCTTCGTATGTGTCCAATTTTTAACATTAGGTGTGGGGAACCTAAGTGAAATTTATTCAAAAAGCTCCAATGAACACTATGTGAGCATATTACAGTCAAATCTTAAGATCAGTGCCTTCGAAATGGACTTGGGCAACTTTATATTTCGTCAAGATAATAAGCTTAAGCACTTGATAAAGTTAAAAAATAACATTACTGTAGGAAAAATCACTGAAAAATTGAAATAAGTTGCTCATAGCACCGCCCTAAATCTAATGGATTAATTTTGGACCACAATTGATAAAAAAATTCCAATGAAATAGTGATCAAAAACGGATTTCTTTTGAAAATTATCATATAAGGAAAGCAAGGGGAAGGGAAGGCGATTGCGAATAATAATGCAGAACAAAATTACCAAAATGGCTTAAGTAGATCCAAATATTTAAATCAGAACCAAAATAGATAAACAATTTTAATATACAAGAAATTTAAATAATGATATATAAAATTTACACTTTATTTTGTCCGACAAAAAGTGAATTTACTTTAATTTTAGATGTTATACAGAAAAATTTTAAGTACAATAATTTAGTTTTATTGTTATTTTTGTAGCATTGTATATAAACTAAATGATTTTGAAAAAAATTTCCATATTCAATAATCATTTAACCGATTTTTTGCTGAAAGAATATAGCATGATTTATTTTGTCCGATAGTGTAAGTAACAACAAATAGTCAAATATATTTGTAGTACAACAGTTATTTGAGAGCAAGAAACAAATACAATACAGTATTGAAGTCAAAACCATAAGCAACTGGTATTGTTTTTGTGGATAGAGTGGATGAGCACAAGTAAAAGCATACAATATCAGTTATACTCATTCTCTCATTTATGCTTATAGTATTAGGTACTCACCATGGTATATTTGTTTTACAAATACTTTGTGGTGTACTACTGCACGTCTTTATTTACACCCCCCTTTTGCTCCATAAACGAACGTTATTGAAAATGGTTGAAATCAGTCCATTATTTAACCTAGCCCCCATACAACCGGACCGCCCGAATAAGGCTTTTGACCTCATAATTTCGTTAAATATTCTAGTGTCTCTATAAAAATCGGCACACTAAGTTTTATATAAGCATAGATAACACTTCCAATTTTTGTAATGATCGGGCCCCATCTGACACTAGCCCCCATACAAAGCACCCTTCTCAAAATTACTTAAATATCCACTATTCACTAATAAATACTATTAATACGATGAAATTCGGCACAAATAATTTTTATATGTACATAAATCCCGTCAATAAATTTTACAAGGATCCATATAAATCCTATTCGAAAAAGCAGTTTCTATGTTTGTAACACTCAAAATATTTGTCCTACACAAATCTTAAATTATACCAGCCGGTTCAGAATTACTTTCCGATTCGATTAAGCTATGTCCGCCTGTGTGTCCGTGAAAACCTTGCGCGCTCGTTTCAGGTCGCAAATTTCAAGGTAATTTGATAAAATTTATTATTGAAAATAAATCACATTTAATATTCGTAATTGGTGTAGGGTATCATATGGTCGGCCACGCCCGACGATAGTTTCCTACTTGTTTATACATAGACTTGTATACAAATTCTTACAAATTATCGAGTACGCGTACTGTCATATAATCAGAGCAAAGGTTTTAATGTACATTAAAACCAAAAAATTCTATATTAACGAACTGTCATTTTTATCGATCTATTACTCTCTTGTTGCAAGTTTTGTAAAATAGGTGAACGAAATCCGGTAACAAATTGTTCAAATTATCGAGTACTCAATCAGACACATAATCAGAAACAAAATTTGTTTATGTGTATTTCATAAAGTAATATGGCAACACCAATTGCTTCTGTCTGTCCGGCATCACTTTCCAAATAAACAATATAAACAAATAACATAATAAAACATGGAAATTGAACTTGCGATTTATGAAGATTGTTTGAATTTAATTGAAAAATTCGTCGAGATTACAAACCCTAATTTTAAATCCTTTTGTGAACAATGGCGAAATGCGATGTTTCAACATATTTATGCAATTCAAACAACAGTCATAGAAGTCATGCAAACTACTAGAACGATTCTACATCTGGCTAAACGTATTGTATGTGCCAAGGATGCATTGGGAAAACTTGCATTTGAACATAATGATGAAAGTCAATTTGTTCGACGTATTGGCGGCATGTATCTTATGTACTCTGTTTATTTTAAACAACCCACAAAACAATATGTAAAAATATTGATGAGTTGTGAAACTTGGCAAGATTTTGTAAGATTTATTGAAACTCTGCCGAAGAATGCGATGACAGATGAAGTGCGGTACATGTTCTGGAAATTATATAAGGAGGATGCTTTTCGTTTTACTACTATAGATTATGACGTTGGTCTTGAAAATTTAGTTGATTATGATCGGTTGTATAACATTCATAACGGAATTAAATCTGATGAAGTTGTAAGAGTAAAGCTAAAGCAAAAACTTATGACCATTGCCGAAACGGAAAAAGCTTTACCGGATATGGTGGCACTTGAAGAAAAATATAATAAAACTAAGGAATCTCTTGTTGGTATTGATAAATCAGCAAAGGCTCTAACATCTACCAAAATATTTCAAGATATTCAGGATGCTTTAAAAAGTGTACGTAATATTTTAGAGGATAAAGAGATCGAAAACAAACCGTCACCTATTACTAGATCAACAAACTACGACGAAAAAAGAAAAGAACTTAAGAGGAAAGCAGCTGGTCGGTATGACTTTGCAACAGAAGATGAGGAATCACCATTTGAAGAAACATCTCTACAAGAAAATAAAAAACACATCGGTAGACCAACTGCTAGAAATATTATGTCACAGAAACTACCTGAGCATATGTCAGATGATCTTAGAAACTCGTCAACGGATGAGGATAATGCAGAAACGCAGGAAAGTTTTGAGGCAGAACAGCTTGAGAGTGATGGCGAAAATTATGTGTTTGAAATTGTCTAAACAATTTTATAATTATATTTTTTAGTTTCTATCTATATAAATAAAAGGGTAATATTTGTTTGTAAGACAAATCTCAAATATAAGTTTTAGGGATCATGATATATGTCCCTGTAAATTTTTCCGACAGATGACGTCGAAATTTTAATTTTGAGTCGATTACAACTAAACCGCTAAACCGATTATTTTAAAAATTGAGGGGTTTATAGATATTTACGTGTAGATCCACATATCTAATTAAGGGCTTACAAGGCAAACAGGACGCCAGTAGTGTAATATAAAATATCTATATTATACATAAATACCTGAACCTATATACATGTAAATAAAAAACTCATCTTTTTTTATTTACCTGTGTTGTTTTTCCACACCCAGTATCACCCTCTAATATTATGACGGGATTCCTGCGAATACTATTTATGATTTCATCTTTAGCATCATGTATTGGCAAAGATTTATCTCGTTCTAAATTAAATTCGTAACGACTATAGACCGGGTCGTTAATTTGGTTTCCTGGGTAATCTACTACATCATCGTCTTCATCACTTTGAATACCCAAATCTTCTGGTAGAATAGCCTTTTTAACGTATGAATATTCACTGTGACCAGGTTTATCCAACTAAAATTTTTTTAATATTATATTACTTGGGATCGAAAATACATGATAATGGACATTACCTTCCGGTATTTGCTTGTACTCTCAGATATTCCATGCTCTCGCTTGACTTTAGCACTTGTTGATGGTGCCTCTTCGACAATTGGTTTGGGAACAGGAGCACTTACACGTTTGAAATCTTTTGATATATTAAAGAAGTCCTCAATTTCATCCATTTTATTCAATAAAAAGACTTTTTCTTTTTATTTCATTCAACACAAAATGTTCTAATAACACTAAAAACGCAAAGAATATAATTGTTTAGTTTTCGCTTTATTGCAATTTTTCTTTGTAGTTGTTTTTAACAAAAAATAAACAAGCAAATTGACAAATAGAGAACGGAGCCGATCATATTTACGCCGTTTGATATTGGTCAATATAAAAAATCACGTGTTAACCCTTCGATGCGCAGCAAATTTTGAGAAAACACTACCTAAAACATAAAAATGGAATTTAATAATTATTTATTTACGTCATGACTCTATTTTTACATTTCTGCTGATAATACGTCATGCCGTAGATAGACATTACGTAAGATTATATAAGAATAGGGTCAATTATCATAACCATCGGATGTTCTTAAATAGGATGAAACTTGAAATCAACCGTTTCGTAACAATATTTTCATTGAAATGTTATTATGAGTGAACATCAACAGAATGCTGACTCTTGGCATAGATATAGTAAAATACCTAGGTCAAATCCTAAAGTAGCTGGATTTTATATTTTTGGCCTGTGGGCGAGAATTAGAAGGAAAAAGGGGCGTTCCAAAATTCACTGTTTGTTCCCCTTTTTTTGTTTATTTATAGCCTTTTGAAGCCCAGAGACGGGTTAGAAAACTGAAACTTGGCATAGATATAGTAAAATATCTAGGTCAAATCCTAACGTAGCCGGATAAAGTCCTAACAACGGAGCAAATAGTCGGACTACGGGAGTAGAATTGAGATGAAAAGTGGCGTAGAAAAATTGTGTTTTTTTACATTTCAGCTAATTTTGATGTCATCTAAAAACCAATGAAGTTAATAATAACTTACCTTAAAGGGTGATGGCAACGATCAAACAAATTTACACACACAGGAATTTTTTGATTGTGTTATTGAAAAAAAACTCACACGCACTGGTTTGATGAAAATCAAAACACTTTTGATTTTCAACTGAAATTGAAGCAGAAGAAGCATACATTGAAGAAGAAGAAGCATAAATTAATTTTTATTTAGTTTTTTGTGAGATTCTTTGCCGCAAGGTAAATGAAATATGGATGAAAAAAATCATATTCGAACTTATTTAAAGGCACATTACCAAATTTTACTTGAAATATACCAATAAAAATATCCAGTTTTTTAATAAAACAATTTTTTATTAATAAAAAAAATAATTAAAAAAAATAATAATAATTGTTTTTTACGGCAAAAATTACATTTATATTAATGGTAAAAATTCTAACGCATACATTTTTTTCATAATATTTTTTATCACCATGCGGTAGAAGAAGTAATATTGCCGTCGCAAAATCTAAACAAAAATAAAATGTATGCTTCTTCTTCAATGATCCTTGGAATAAATTACTTACGCATGAAAAAGTTTTGACCAAATTTTGACGTGTTGCCATCACCCTTACCACATTTAGAATTAAAATTTTTGCACTGTGGACGGAGATTTAACAGGAAAATGGGCTTGGAAATTTCTGTTTTTTTACATTTTAACTAATTTAGAAATCCCTCAATGACCTAGAAATATGAAAATTGACATACATGTTGTACGGACCAAGAAGAAGATGAACACTGAACTGGATGCTGTTAGGACGGAGATGTAAAAGAAAAAAGGGATCTGAAAAGGAGTCTATACTTATTACTCTCTGTTTAAACATCCAGCGCCTTTAACCAATTTTTTTAACTTGATTATGTGGGCAAATTCAATTGATGCAAATCTGTTTTAAAAGCGAAACTCATTATTTGGGACGAGGCAACACTCTGGCCCATAGTGCAATATCCGTCTATCAAAATTTTCGATAGAGTCACTATAAAGTCAGAGAACTATTTCCACAAAATTTCATTGAAATCAGACTATGGCTTCTACAGCGCTAATATAGACATTGTCTATTAGACAACCGGCTAATTTTGTTTTCAATATTATACAATGTATACCATAATGTGTTTACTCTTTTAAAAATTTAAAAATGGCTACAAAATATTTCAAAGTGAAATTTGATCTCAATTAAATTTGGTGCATACTATAAAAATGCAGATCGTGACCACCAACTTTTTCAAGGTTTATTTATATTTATGACCAATGACACTATCTGAAGTTATTGATAGACAAACATCTATGGGTCATAAAGTGATTCTGAAATAAAACATATAACAGCATAAAGGCATATGGTGAATTTCATATCAAGTGACCCAACTCAAAAAAATCGATTTTGACGAAATTTGCATTAAGGTTAGTACTATTAGATAGTAGGTAAGACACAAATTTTCAGCTCTATTGGTCAAAAACTTCCGAACTTAGAGGGGGTCAAAGTTGGACATTTTGGTCATACAGGGTTTTATTCGAATGAGTGTAACTTTTCACCTATTGGTCCTAGCAACAGTTGTCTGAAGGAGTTAGATTTGAATTGAGTCATTCAAAGGTAATTATAATTAAATTGTGAATGAATTCTTATATTGAGAATGACAAGTTAAATCTCAATTATAAATAAAATTTTTAGCAATTTGTAATGTCAAGAAGTAATCAAATGTGTACATTAAATTTCCGACATTAAAAAATAGTCTCTGTAATGATAGCTTAAGGTAGCCAATCATGCTTTATCAAATACAGCTAAGAATGCATTTATACAGAACAAGTTTCCATGACACAAGTCTCATACCCAGTTTACAAGATGCAATTATTCACACACTCATTCGTTGTTCAATCCTCAATTACAAACTGAATTACATAATTCGCCATGCAAAATTTCAGCTGCGAATTACACAAGCTGTACGTATGTTTTAATAATATGAAAAATATTCAATACAAAATATTTAGCCCCATTTTCACCAAGTTCAGTTATAATTTCATTTTGAGATATATTGACAGTTCTCATACAAAAATTTTCTTAAAGGGGGGTTAATGTAAAAAAATATTTAATTTAAAAATGGTATTTTTCGCACACACACAAATCACAATTATACACAACAAAAAAAGTTGAAAGTTTTGTTTTTGTTCTCATTTTCTCTTTCTCTTCTTTTTCGTACGCCAAAGTAAATATTTTTCAACTTTTTTACGAGCTGTCTGTCGCAGTTCGTCGTAAAGGATTGTATGTGTTTGGACCTTAAGTAATTTAACTGTCCGTGTGAACTTGGCATTATTCAGAGGTCGAATTAAGTGCCGGTCCGCACAGGAAAACTTTTGATTTTGTGTGTGAGAGAAAGAAATATCAATAATCACAATCGGCGATCAATAAAATGATCTGTAAGTTGTCGTGATAAAATCAGGTAGCATTAACATAAACAAAAAACTGACAATTTTTCTGCCGACGTTTTGTCAAGTGCCGTGATAAATATTTGTCTAATATAGACACGGGGTAACGTCTTAAGCGGCGCCCGAATATGTCGGCTGATTTTGACAATTTATATTACATTTTCAATGTGTATTTATTAATTTTAATAAACTAAAACAAGTTAAATTGTGAAAATGTAAATAAAAAACTTAAAAATTGGCAATTCTTTGTAAATAAAGCAAAAATTTGACGCTTAAGAAGTGTAGCATGTAACTTGATGCGTAGGATGCAAAGAATGTGTGAAAAGCACGAAATGCTTTGCCGCGAAGACGCATAGTGTGGACTTCCAGCTATAAGGAAACTTTAAAAGGGCATTAAGAAAAAGTTTCTCAACTATAGTTTACCTGTTTGAACCGACACTAAGTTATTGAGCTGTTCGTGTGAACTTGGTTGAGTAATACAACTGTCCGTGAGAACATGGTGTCAGTTTGAAATAATTCGATTTCATGCCGCCGCCAAAACTTTTAATTTTAGACGACTTTCAAAATTTTTGTCGGCACAAGTCCTTGTTGGCGCTTCATTTTTTAAACATAAACATTTCATTGTTTAAATTTAATTATAAGATAAATATTGTTTGGAAATAATGTCCTCTATAAAGATAAATCGAGATACTTTAAATAAACTAAATCACGATTCTATAGAAATCCGTTTACGTACTTTGGAACAGCTTTCATCAAAACTAAATCGAGCGCTGGCGCATAATGGAACTATTGAATTCAAGCCTGGTGAATTGTGTAAACAATTGATACGTTGGTTTGGCTTTATGCCTATCCAGCAGCCACTAAGAGTATTGAATTTATTAGAATCTGTATTAAAATCTCCAGCATATGGTTCGATAGCTATTGACAAAATAGGATCTGAAAGATTAATAAAAGAATTGAGAAAAATTCAATCCTTATTCGATAGTCATAGTGAAGAATTTAAAATTATTAATAAAATAAAGGAATTTTTAAAAAACCGCACTCTTACAGAAGAAAAGACTGCAATTAATAAGCACTCGGAGAATTTGGAAGACTTAATTGAATGTGCCAATAATATGAAAATTATTGGAAAAGTGGAAAGTGATAACCTGAATGATTACGAATTAGCTTGGTCGCATCCATCACCTTCAGATTATACATCAATGAAATTTTTATCGGACATTTTAATAAATAAATTTGCTACAACCGTTGAAATTGAAAATGCAATACAACATTTGGAAATAACTATGATAGATTATCCAGCGGAATATCTCTTGCAGGCTCCACATATATTTCAGAATCTTCTACATATTTATGACAAGCGCAAATGTGAAAATCAAGATATTTTAATGGATGTTGTGGCATCGGCCTTATTACAATTTCTCTTCATATTTGAAAAACGCATTGAAATGTTAAGGAAGTCGACGGCATATAGTGAAAAAAATAAATTGTTAAAAAGTTCTCAAACGCCTTGTCAACTCAAGTATGAAATAGCATTAGCAGGACTTTTAGACGCTAGTGTTTTTCACTTGGAATCGCAATCATCTCAAGGCAATGTTTCACCATTTGTATGGGAGGTCATTTTTATGGTTTTGCAGCTAATACAAAAGGTAGACAGAAAAGTGGAAATTTTATTTTTGTATAAAGTTGCTACAATTGTGGCCAATTTAAGTATCAAGTTTGCCGAGACAGAACATTGTGCTCGACTCCGTCTACACCAGATGCTTTTAATATTTACGTTGCAAGACGTTGCACGAGTGACTACAGTACGTAATTCCCTAACAGGCATTGAATTAATTGAACCTATATTGCGAGATTATACTATGAAATGTTTCTACGGTACACGCCATGAACTCACAGAAACTCT